GATGATACAATTTGTTTAAACTTATTTAGAAGATTAAATACTTTCAAAAAAATTATAACACATGCAAATAAGGCTTTTTTAATAAAATAATAATTAATGATATTATAATTTGTAAAATTATGGATCAAATTTGTAAACAATTTCTTATTATGATCCACACACTTTTTTTGTCCTCCCCTTTCCAATTTCTTATTACTAAAAGGAAAAAAAATACATAATATCATGTTATTTTCATATTACTAACTTTTTTTTAGTTTTATAATAACTAGAAGGTACTCGCATAATACTGCAAAATACATATTCATTTTAATGTTTCGTTTTATTTTTTGTTTTTGTTGATATAATACGGTTTATATAGTTTTGAGAAAGATAATGTTTTTACTTTTGAATAAAAATAAATTTGAAGACATCATAAATTCTTTAAAAAAATATACCGATATTAATACCAAATTAACTATTTAAAAGTTTTTATTTTTTATATAATTTATTTAATTCATTTTATTATTATAATTTAATTTAGATTAAATAGTGAAGTAATTTATTTTTAGGTTAACAATAAATTTTTTTATAAATATAATGATTCTGTTAGAACTTCATAATTATCCTAATTATATTTTAGATTTTTTTGTATTTTAAAATGAGATAGTTATGCTATATTTGATTATGTTTATTCGTAGTTAGTTACACGGATAATAAGTTGTACTTATGCATAATTTATTTATAATCTTGAATTTTAAGTAATATGCATCAATATATGATACTTTATGCATAAAAAATAGTTTTTAATTTTTTTTTATCAAATGCTCTATAATATAATATAAATAATATATAATTTTCCATTCCCCCCTCTCTTCGTCACCACGACAACCCCCACTCAGTGGCCTTCCTTCCCTATGTCGACAGCCACCACCCATGGGCCATGGCCGCCAAGCCCAAACCCACATCGAACCGTCTCTCGGTCTGTTTGTATGTGTATTTCTGGATATCGAAAAAAAGGGATCTGTATTCTTCATTTTGAGCAGCCCTCGCTCTCTATGTTCTTCATAAACCTTCCTCTCCTTTGCCCTCTCCCACCACTAGGGGTGTAAATGAGACGAGACAACTCGCGAGCTACTCGAAATCGACTCGGTCAA